ATATATATGCTTGCGCCACTGCAAACGCGAGTATGTCGCGCTGAGGGTTTAGGGCTTGTGGTTTAGGGTTTAGGGTTTGTGGTTTAGGGTTTACTTTATTGAGTTTGCTGGCATCGGCCTTCGTGACGTCTACTCCAATTGCAATATCCGAGCGAGCAAACAGAGAAAGAGCAGAAAATAATAAACCCAAATTAAATTGCAAAGCCCCAAAAAGAACTCGAGGCGGCTTCGCCTCCAACACCCGACGAAAAACCGTCAATGATAAACGCTGAACACAAACAACACAAACAAATGCATGCATGCATGCATATGTGCATGCATATATGCATGCATCCATGCAATCATCCATGCATGCATCCATGCATGCATGCACGCAATCGTCCATATATGCATGCAAACCAACCATCCATATGTGCATGCATGCATGCATTCACCTATCAATGCTTGAACGCATGCAGGCTAAACAGAGCTGCTGCTGCTTCTGCTGCTGCATGCAAGTCTTACTGTGAGGCCCTGATAAGCCATCCACACTCCAAGCCCCAAAGCTGCATGCGCGTTGCCTCCGAATGGGGGCTGCAGCGCCAAGCAGCAGTTGTAGCGAAACTCAGCAAAGGCCTCGTTAGCTCTGCATGCACACAGCAGCAGCAACAGCAACAGCAGCAGTAGCAGCAGCAGGAACATCAGTGCTTTTGCTCCTTCAAAAGGAGGAGCTGAAAACAAGAAAGTGCTGCTGCTGCTGCTGCTGCCTCTGCTGCTTTATTTTGCTGCTGCAGGAGCTCGAGGGCATCAGCAGAGCAGCAGCAGAATTGTAAAACCCAGCACAGAGGGTGGCAGCTTCTCTGGGGATTCCAGTGAGGGTTTAGGGTTTAGGGTTTAGGGTTTACTTGGGGTGTCCTGCAGCAACAAGTCGCTTAGCTCTTGCGAAATGGATAGCAGCAAGGAAGGAGTAGGCCATAGGGTCTCTCGGTCGTTTGCTGCTGCTGCTCTTTTTCTTCTTTTTGCTGCTGCTGCTGCTTTTATCTGCTGCTGCTGCTGCTGCTTCAGGGTCTCCCACATCTAAAGCGCGCTGTACTAAGGCCAGCGCTCTTTCATGACGCCCAGCACTTAGCATAAAAGAAGCAGCATAGAGGCAAGCCAGTACTACATCACCTTTGCTGCTGCTGCTGCTGCTGCTGCTGTTGTTGCTGCTGCTGCTGCTGCGAAGGAAGGCCTCGGCGTTGAAGTGCGCCCCATACAGAGACCGCCGCTGCAGCGCCAGCTGCATGCGAAACAGCTGCTGCTGCTGCTGCAGCTCCTGCCGCAGCGGTAGCGGCAGCAGCGAATCCAAGAAGGAAACGAGTCGCCTGAAGCAAGAGGGCTTCAAGGCTGCTCTCTCGTCTCCCTCCCAAACTTCCTCTGCTGCTGCTGCTGCTGCTGCTGTTGCTGTTGCTGCTCCTGCTGCTGTTGCTGCTCCTGCTGGCGCAGACGGGGGAGCCGGCGAGTCAGCTCCTGCTGCACCCCCTACTGCTGCAGCTCCTGCCGCTGCTGCTCTTGCTGCAGCAGGGGGGGAAGCTAAGAAGCGCAGCAGCAAAGACAGCTGAGAGTGGGCGCCAAGAGCAGAGAGACAGAGACACAAATTAAAACAGCAAATAGCAGCAAGGGCAGCATCGTCTTCATCGTCGCTGCTGCTGCTGCTGCTGCTGCTGCTGCTGGAAGAGGCCTTTGCAGCACCGCACGTCTCTATGCTTTCACCTGCTCCAGAAGCGGTCCCCTCAACAGGTGCCTGCTGCTGCTGCTGCTGCTGCTGCTCATCCTTGCTGCTTTTGCTGCTGCGGCTGCAGAGGTGCAGCAGCAAAGCAGCAAGGACTCGCTGGGCCTCGCCCGCTCTGTCTGCTGCTAAAAGGAGACACCCGAAATTCTGCAGCGCAGCAGAAGGCAAAACCTTCGACCGAAGGAAGGCCTCCACCTTGTGCTTCAGCGGCACCTGCTGCTGTTGCTGCTGCTGCTGCTGCGGCTCTTGCTGCTGTTGCTGCTGCTGCTGGAGATACACCGCATCGAGCAGCGCGGTGTAGGCGCTTACAGCCTGCAGCAGCAGCTCCTGCTGCTGCTGTTGCTGCTGTCCGTTGCCGAGCAGCAGCACTTCGCAGCAGCGGCAGATGCCCAGCAGCACTCCAAGATGCTGCGGGTTTGCTGCTGCAGCACGCTGCAGCAGCTCAAGGGCTTCTGCATGCAGCTGCATGTACCGAGTTGCGCGAGCTCCTGCATGCGAAGGCTCCAGCAGCTCCTGCTGCTGCTGCTGCTGCTGCTTCTGCTGCTGCCCTTGGCGCTTCTTCTCTGCTCCGCGTTGCTGCTGCTGCTGCTGCGCGGGGAGGTTGTCGAGCTGCATATTTGTTCCTTCGGCGTGTGAATCCCGCTGCTGCTGCTGCTGCAGCGCAGCAGCAGCAAGATATTCATCTGCAAGGGTCTCTGCCTCTGTGAGGAGAGCGAAGGCCTGCAGCACCAGCACCTCGTTGCATGCAGGTAAAGCCCTAAAGACAGCAGCAAGAGCAAGCTGTGTCTCCTGTCCCCTTCTCAAGGAGACAGCACATTGTGCAGCGTGAAAAGCTGCTGCTGCATGCATGCCCGACTGTCTGCATGCAGCAGCAAAGTGGTTGAGTGCTGCTGCAGTCTCCCCGCGCTGCTCCAGCAGCAAACCACGTAAGTAAGACGCTTCTGCTGCTAAGGTAGAGCAGAAGGGAGGTATATGAATCTGCTGCAGCAGCTGCTCAGCAGCTTGCTGCTGCTGCAGCAGCAGCAGCCGCCCACACAGCTGCAGCAGCACAGCAGGGTCAGTTGGGTTTGCTGCATGCGCCTGCAGCAGCCCCTCGTTTTGCTGCTGAAGCCCCTCAGGCGTTCTGAAATCCCCCTGCAGCAGCGCAGCAGCAGCAAGAGAGCTGCTGCTCTTGGGGTCTAATGCTGCTGCTCGCCTAAACGCAAGTAAAGCATCAGCTTGCCGCCCCAGCCGCAGCAAACAAAACCCTAAAGCATATCGAAGCTCAGCAGCAAACTCCGTCTCCGTACGAGACACACACTGCTGCTGCTGCTGCTGCTGTTGCTGCTGCTGCTGCTGCTGTTGGGGCTCTTCAGGAGGAGGCATGTAAGCGATTAGGCGAGCATATATTGCCGCTGCTTCCGCCCAGCGGCGCTGCAGCACGGCGCATGCAGCAAGCCCCAAATATGCAGCAGGATGTGTGGGGTTGTTTGCTGCTACAATCTGAAATACCTGTGCTGCTCGCTGCAGCTCTGCTGCTCGTCGCTGCTGCTGCTGCTGCCGCTGCTGCTGCAAATCCTGCAGCAGCTGCTGCGTCTGCGCGGGTCCCCCTGCAGCAGCCGTAGCAGCAGCAGTAGCAGCAGCAGCAGCAGCAACATCTCCTCCTGGGCCCTCTAAGACTGCAGCAACAAGAGACATCATAGCGTTTAGCAGCAAACAAAATAAATCAGGGTCCTTGAGGCGCAGCAACTGGGGATCTGGGGGTTTGCTGCTGCAGCCTTTAGAGGCTTCAGCTAGACCTGCTGCTGCTGCTGCTTTGTCTCTCCACTCTGCTGCTTGCAGCAGCAGCAGCCGTCTCTTGTTGCAGTCTGCTGCATGCAAACCCCTAAAAAGAAAGTGAGAGCTTAAAGAAGCAGCAACCCTCACACGCCAGTCGCCTGTCCAGCAGGCTGTCGGCTCAGGAGCAGCAGCATCAGGAGCAGCAGATGCTGCTGCTGGTGTTGCTTCTGCTGCTGCTGCTGCTGCTGCTGCAGGGGCTACAGGGGGTGCTGGGGCTAGGTGTGGGGTATAGCATGCAGCAGCAGCATCTGCTGCTGCTGCTTTGTGCAGCAGCAGCAGATCCATCTCCTGCAGCGGCCTCGAGCATATATCTGCATTGGAGTACAGCAAAGTGTTGCTGCAGTAGTGACAATCTCTAAGCAATTCTTCATATGCATCAAAGCAGCCGTCAGCATAATAAGCAAGGGCCCCCCCTATCCAGCCTCTTAAGCTACAAACTTCTCTTTTCAGCATATCACGAATAAAAGATAAATCCTTTAAACCCAGGGGGCCCCCCCCTACGGGGCCCCCTGGGGGGCCCCCCCCGACTACGGGGCCCCCTGCTGGCTGGGGGGCCCCCGGGGGCCCCCCACATCCTTCAGAAGCAACAGGGGGGGGGCCCCCTGAAGCTGGGGGGGCCCCCTGGGGGCCCCCTGATATGCCTCCAAAGGGGAGGTAGACGAGGGTATTGGTGTGCTGAATAGGAATATACATCGTTTAGAATTAAAAGCAGCACAACAACAGCAGCAGCAGCAGCAGCTGCAGCAGCAGCTGCAGCAGCAGCAATTGCGCTGCAGCAGATGCAGGTAATAAGAAATACCCTTGTAAAATATCACTTCTAATCCTCGTAAAGATGCAGAGGGTAAAGGGAAGAAGAAGTTAAAAGTAAAAACAAACGAACAGAAAGAACAAAGAAGCGAAGAAATATAAACAACAAACAACAACAGACACACAGCTGAAGAAGGCAGCAGTTAATTTAGAACAAAGCCCGCTGCAAGTGGAAAGAAAAGAAAAACCCTCCCTTCAAATGAGGCAATTCAGCGAGAAATCAGGGTTTAGGGTTTAGGGTTTAGGGTTTAGGGTTTAGGGTTTTAAGGATCGAGGGCAGCCGCTAAAGAAGAAGAACTCCCCAAACCCTAAAGGCCAGTAAGACAACCTCAGCATATAGAGTTACGCCTAAAGGTCTAGGGTTTAGGGTTTAGGGTTTAGGGTTTAGGGTTTACCGATTAGGGTTTGGGGTTTAGGGTTTAGGGTTTGGAGGCCCTGCTGCATGCAGCCTTGCCTCCGCCGCCATACACTGATAGTCGCCTTCGTTCGTTGGTTCATTTAATTAGGGTTTAATTTTGAAATAAAAGTATTTAAATATAATAAAATTGCTTTTAATATTTACAAACTTAAACTTTTCTGCTTCCTGCGCAGCCATGCCTCTCTTTATTGCCCTGCTCAGCCTAGCAGCCGCCGGTCTAGAAAGGATTTAGGGTTTAGGGTTTAGGGTTTTTGAGGTGTAGTTACACCTCAGGCTGTTTCTGCTTAAAAGAGGGTTTACGAATAGGGGCTTTGCATGCGCTTGCTTGCTGGTAGGCTAATTGAGAGAGTTATAAGGTAAGAAGCCTACTGTGTATATACACCGCAGCAACTCATGAAGCAGCCAACGAGCAGCAACAGCAGCAGCAACAGCAGCAGCAACACCAACAGCAGCAGCAGCAGCAGCAGGTTGTTGCTTCCCACCGTCTGTAGCTTTTTCTGCTTTCCAAGACATACGGTGTTCGGTTATTAGCTAATTACTTTAGCTGCTGTTGCTGCAGCTGCTGCAGCGATGGCTGATACTGCTGCTCGGGCTGCAGCAACAGAAACCAGTATAACCTACAGCAGCAATTGGTGCTGCTGCTGCTTGTGCTGTCTTTGCTGTTATACAGTGCGTATTGCGGCAGCTGCTGTTGTTGGTGGAGCTGTTGCTGCTTCCCTGCTACTGCTGCTGCCGTTGCTACTAATGCTATTGCTGCAGTGCTGCAGCGCTTGCTGCTGCTGCATGTGCTGCAGCTCTTGCTTCCCTGCTACTGCTGCTGCCGTTGCTACTAATGCTATTGCTGCAGTGCTGCAGCGCTTGCTGCTGCTGCATGTGCTGCAGCTCTTGCTGCTGCTGTTCTTGCTGCTGCTGGGTTGAAGCTGATATATTTATCTCTTTATTTGCAGGAGGAAGACAAACAGATGACAACTTGAGATACCGTTGCTACTAATGCTATTGCTGCAGTGCTGCAGCGCTTGCTGCTGCTGCATGTGCTGCAGCTCTTGCTGCTGCTGTTCTTGCTGCTGCTGGGTTGAAGCTGATATATTTATCTCTTTATTTGCAGGAGGAAGACAAACAGATGACAACTTGAGATATAAGATGTAGATGAGGCAAGTTAAAAACTAAAAAAAATACAAGTAAACAAAATGACAACAGATAATACAGAAAGGAACAGCAGCAGCTGCAGCAGCACGAGCAGCAAGTTAGAGCAGCTGCAGCTGCAGCAGCACGAGCAGCAAGTTAGAGCAGCTGCAGCTGCAGCAGTACGAGCAGCAAGTTAGAGCAGCTGCAGTTGCAGCAGCACGAGCAGCAAGTTAGAGCAGCTGCAGCATCACGAGCAGCAAGTTAGAGCAGCTGCAGCTGCAGCATCACGAGCAGCAATATCTGCTGCTTGGTGTTTGAGTCTAAAAAAGAAAAGCAGGTAAACATCATCTCTAAGAGTGCATGCAAGGGGTAGGTTGCAGCATTAATATATCCTACACAATATTTAATTAATCTTTACGCGCAGAGTTACCGAAGAATGCAGCCCATCAGCTGGTGAAGTTAAATATATATATAAACTAAATATGAGTTGTAGTCAGCTTCTGTGCAATCAATAAATGTTTATCAGAAGACAGCATTAAACTCCTCAAGATAAAATATAAATATAGGGGTCTGACTCTCTTGCTCATTTGAGTTGATGCTTTGCTTAAGCATTTCTTTTTCGGTGTATCTGCAATAATGAAGATGCTATCACAGCCTCTGACTGATATTAAATAAACTCGTTATCAGCTACAGCAAGATAGACATTCATAGGCCTTCAATAAATAAAAGACATTAAAGCATCTCTCTCAGCTGTCTCTGCTGATATTGTCAGCAAGTAAAGATATTCTCTTCCTTCATAGATAGCCAATACAGAAGAGCTAAATGCATGCATGAACAGCTGAAGTATAGCTGCTGTGTTTTAAACAAAACTTTTGTGCGTAGCGGAGCTGAAGTGTATAGACATCTTTTTTTATTCTTCGTCTAATGCGAGACAATATCATCATCTGTGCTGCAGTTAAAAAGAATAAGCAAATGATTACCTTCTCTGCTGCTTCAAGCCGTTGGAGGCTCAGCTGCTGCTGCATGCATGCATACACCGCAGGGCCTCTCTTTGCTGCTTGTAGCAACAGTATTGTTGCTGCACTTGTGCTTAGGGACAGCGTGCTAGTGAAGAAGAGACAAGGAGACAGCTAATGAGCGACCTTCACCGCATTTAAATGCTGCAGCACAGCTGCTGCATGCAGGCAGCTATAGCAGGGCCTCCCGTTGCTGCTTGCATCAACATTATTATTGCTGCACTTGTGCTTACGTACAGGCTGCAAGCATTTACAACAAATTATATTAAATAGAGATCTAGGCAGTCCTTACAAAGCCCCAGCAGCAGCAGGTAGATGCATGCATTTCTTTCTGTGTTGCTTAATCGTTGCTGCCTCCCCATATGATCTGCAACTGTGGAGGCAGCAGCAGCAGCAGCAGCAGCTGCTGCTGCTGCTGCTGCCATTCTATTCCTGCTGTTGTTGCTGTTACTGTTGTTGTTGTTGCTGCTGCTGCGGCTCGTGCTGCAGCTGACGGAGGTGCAGCAACAACAACCCTTCAGCCTGCACTGTCTAGAGCCTGCAGCATAGCCTTTGTATTTTTGCTG